GCGCTCCTCACCGGGCCGCTGTCTCTTTCCTCCCGCAGCGGCGTGGGGCTGGCGCGGGCGCACTTCGAGAAGCAGCCGCCTTCCAACCTCCGGAAATCCAATTTCTTCCACTTCGTGCTGGCGCTCTACGACAGGCAGGGGCAGCCGGTGGAGATTGAAAGGACCGCTTTTGTGGACTTTGTGGAGAAAGAGAAAGTAAGTGCAAACATACGATCACACCCTCTCTCTTTCTAGAAGTGGGAGTCAGGCGGTGCCGGCGCGCGGGGGTTCAAGTGTCCCCCTCGGCGGCGGGCACGGCTCCGCCAGGCCACCCCGCCGCCGCCGCCGCCACGTGCGGTCGCCCGGGACCGCTGAGGGCTGGGCAACTTCTCTGCGCCCTCGGACTTACTCGGGGCGAGGAGAACGCTGGGCTTCCAGCAGGAAAGTGACATCACCGCGCTGCTCCGAGCTAGGAATCCTGCCATGTGTGAGGCCGAGAGCCTCGGTCGCGGAGGGGGACCGAGCGCGGTGGCCGCGCCTGACACCGATCGCACTAAATGCAATTATTTATCGTTACTTTCAGGAGCCAAACAACGAGAAAACCAACAACGGCATCCACTATAAACTCCAGTTACTGTACAGCAACGGTAAGTGCCTGCTGCCTGCTCGCCGCCCCTGCAACGGCTGGCTCTCCTTTTCCGCGCTGGTGAAAGGACATAAAGATTTTGAGATTAAAATGACATGGATGTAAACACGAAATCTTCTCATGGCATAGAAGGAAAACAAAACATAAACGATCAATAAGTCGATGGCACTTCACATGATTAACCGGTGGGGCTTGAAGTAGAAAGTAAAAAAAAGATCGATACGGGCTCCAGCAGAACATCACTTTTAAGTGACTTTTTTCAATTTTGCAAATTAATGTTAATTATTGGGATGGGGGTAGCTCCATAAACGGAGCATAACTTACTTCCTGTGAACGAGTTTTTTTTTTTTTTTTTTTTTAAATCCTCGAGAGACATTAGCAAGAGTTCAGCCTCTCACTCAGTTTCCATTTGGTGCTTTTTCTTTTCTAAAAATAAACGACCACATGGGCCCACCTCGCACAGCCACCAGGCCTGCTCTCCACCAGGCAAATTCCTTGCACCTTGAAATGCAAACCCTAAGAGTCTTAAGGTTCTTAATTAAGAAAGGGAAAAACACTAAGCGAGAAGTGCTGGGGTTCTCTTTCTCCCTTTCAAAGGGATTGCCTAAGTTTTGCTGCATCACCGTGGCAGCAGCCCTGAGTTACAGACTTCCTGTGCCCCGTGTGCCCTCCCCGAGGTGCAGCACTCAAGTCCTGATGAGAATTTGTCTCTGTTTTTTTGCAGGAGTCAGAACAGAGCAAGATCTGTATGTTCGCCTCATAGATTCAATGACCAAACAGGTGAGAAAGTTTATGCCTCTGCACGAGTTTTCACTGCTGGGCCTGGGTTGTCCTGGGCTTCAGAGGCAAGGGCACTGATAAATGGATCTCATGTATTTGTTTTCCATTGAGCTTCCTTGACATGCTAATGAGAATTCCATATTTATTGGAATGAATGAAGCGATTGGTAAAATAGTTTATGTTGTCATTAGAACAGGACATGTATGCTTTATTAAATGTCTTGTGATTGGAATCATATTCTGTCTTAATTATGGTAATTAATATTTGACAGAAAAATTTCAAGATGTCCCCCCTCTTGTTTATTTTTTAAATGCTTCTCTCTCTGCTAGGAATCAGTTCATTTGGATTTTTTTTTTCTATAACAAAGGCAGCTAACGCCTAAGCCCATCGAGTTAGACTTGATTAGTTCATTTTTTTTTTCTCCTTTCCAGTGTGATGGTCTAGTAACACGAGACGTTTATTTGGATTTAAAAGTTAAATGTGTTGGGGTGAAAAGTCACCTTGTTCTCCTCTAGTCCATCTTCACCTCGCAGCCCCCCAGCTCCATAATTCAAACTCCAAGCTCCAGGGGTCACTCCAACTCGTCCACTGCTCTGCCCCCTCTCCCACCCTCTGTCATACCTTGTAAATAACATAATTACAAGCAGTTCCTTATTAAATTATTTAACCTGTCTTGGTCAACTTTTCCGATGATAACTATTGGCTATCAGTAATGTGATTAAGTGGAGAAAAGTGCGTCATTGCTTTTTGACATTGTGCAGTCTCTGGCTGCTGGTTTTGTGCTGGGTGGTGTGTTGTTGTTGATTTGGTTGTTTTAAAGATTTCCCGCTGCCCCGGTTTTCTTAAAATAGAGTGTTGTGGTGGGGAGGGGGGCAGGTCCAGTTTGTAGATTAAATCCACTCCGCACAGATTGTTTTAAAATATACTTCCAAGCTGGACTTCACACTTAGAAATGAAAGTGGCTTCTTCGGTTTTGATGCTAACTTTAAGAATTGTGAGCCAAGTAAAGGAGAGCTCGTTGGGGCTTCCTGCAGCCCAGCACATATGCCTCCCACTCTCTGCATGCAATTAGTTTGCAGCTTTTATTTCCCCTTTAAAAAGTTTGTCCTTACCTAGGTAGCAAGGGTGTTAGATTTTAATGCCTGCAGCGGTAAAACTGTTTGGTTTTCTCTTAGAGTAAAACAGATCTGACAGGTAAACTAAGGTCTTTCTGACAAAGACAGAGGCGGTGTGCCTTTCTGTAATTATTTCACTCGATTCAGAGAAGCCTCTGGAACTCGGGCTGCTGGTTGACAGGGTGATTTTATTTCCTTTGTATATAATGGCTAAATGTTTTCGGAAGTCGCTATAGTCTAATTAAGAGGCTTATGTAGGCAGCGCTAAGTTTCTCTGTTGTTGCACAGAGAAGGAGGCTTCGTTTTAAGTACACTTTTATTGTTCATTTAGCCTTGTACCTTTGCAGTATAAACAGGGCTGAAAATAAAGGCATTTAATCTCCTCTCACTGACGGGCATGGAGGGGGAAAAAAAAGGAAAGAAATAGCCCAGTAACTGATCAAAGAGTCAATGGCGCTGAACCGACAGTTTATGGATTTCTGTTTGTGCTACAAAATAAAAAATAAATCAAATATAAATACGGGGATCCATCGGAGGACAAGCCATTCTCTCAGAAGCGCTGGTGCCCGCCGCGGCCACGCGCCCTGCAGCCCCCAGGCGGCTCGTTGGCCTGCGGTGACACCCATCACTTCTGTGGTTCTGAGCCGGGTCCAGGCGGGAGGCCGGCGGGTGAGCGGGGTTCCCGGGGAACCTTCCCTCTTCCCAGGAGGGCAGCCCGGGGCTTTCACCAGAAAGGGCTTTGTCCGCCTGGAAGTAGAGGAAAGTGTCAGAAGTGCCCGGGGAGGTAGGAAGGAATTTCCAGATAATTTTCAGGGGTGGGGGCGGGAACCGGTGAGAGGACATCCCTCCCCCTTCCGTGGAATTTTATGCCGGGAACTTGGAGCTCCCAGCCCCGGCCTCCCGCCCCTCCCCCAGTATACTTTTTTTTTTTTTTTTTCTCCCCCTTTTCTGTATTTTCGCGAGGCCGGCGGTGGAGGCCCAGCCCTGGCGGGCGGCTCCCAGTCCCCAGCTCGGGTTCCCAGCGGCGGAGCCGGGCTGAGCGCGGCGGTGAGCGCACCTAGGGCTTCGCACCATCTGGCGGAGCCTCTGCTCAAAACCCACCCGAGCGTGCGCGCAGAGACTGCCTTTTTACCCGAGAAAAATCATTGTTAGCACTTTCAAAATAAACACCAGATTGGCCATTAGCACTTTCTTTCCAAATATCATCCGGCGAGGAGCACGTGGCCGCGCGG